GCGGTCCGTCCAAGGTGGAGGAGCCCCGGCGGTTGACTGGCTCACTGTGGGCGGGGCCCGCTGGCCTCGCATCCACTTTTTCAGGGGGCACGCACACACTCGATGGTACTCCGTCCTGTGCTTGGCGTGGGGCCTTCGACAGCGATCTCGTCACCCCACTCGACGACGCGATGCGTCCGTCGCCTCCGAGTTTCTTCTCGCACTGCCCTAATTATTCTCCACGCTCAAACCCAGTTTCACACTACAAGCGTGGAAATTCCCCCTTTCCAGACGGTCCTTGCCACCTTATGCGGCAGGAATTTGTTAAGTTCAAAGACCTCTTGGTATATGTTTTGTGTTTGGTTTGTTTTTGGGCTTGAGTAAAAGTAAAGCGGGTGTCACAATATTTACGACTGTGGATATCACAAACACGGCCGTCTGTTGCCCATAGCCTCGGGAGTAAGCCGAGTCTCGGGCAGTTTAGAAACAATGGATATGCACGTTCCCCCACCGAGCCTGGCCGGGCGAGGTGAGGGGAAAGGAACCACCGAACGAGGTGCCGAGAGACACTTCCTGCACGCGACGGGGAATTCAATGTCGGTTATGACTTGTTGTGCCGTACCAGACGACTGTGCGATTTCTTCGAGAAATCTAAAGACATGTTCTGTCGACTTGTCAGACGGGTTGTGTGACAATGAGTGGCAACTCCTCAACACTGATAGAGACAAACTTCTCTTTCGGTGGTCGCAAAAACTTCGACGTTTTCTAGAAGTGTTCGTTTCACTTCCGTATACAGTATACAGTCTGAGGTGTGGTTGAGAGAGCAGACGTTGTCTCTGACATCGTCAGAGATTAGGAGGGTTGGAAAATTTGCTTCTTCCCTCGCCATAGAGTCGTGAGTATCGAGTGTTACGATATATCCGTATACGGTAAGACAAATCGAGTCTCGATGCGGTGTCTTGTGGTTCCTATTGTGGCCCACAGAGTTGTTCACGGCCAACGTATCTGTCTAGTTTAAGGGGTTCGCAGGGCTGTCTTCTCCAGCTGAAGTGATCTGTCGAAGGAACTGTTTCTAGGAAACAGCGCAACGAAATGCGAGGTCGTGGTGCCCACGTTCGTTGACGTGTACGATTAGAACGGATTACGCGTTGGAAATCCATTCAATTTTGTGGGTTCCGTTACCTTAGCGTTCGGTGCAATCGAAGGGAATGGCTTCGCACCACCTGAGGCCGGCAATTAGTGTACCTGGGAGATCTGTGTTTCTTCTCACCTTGACTATAGCAGTTCCGTGTCCGATGGTATTGGTTGCTTGGGTAGTGCCTACTATGTGTCGAGTTTTGCCGAAATGACCTGGAAGAACGAAAATCGTTGCCTTCTGTGATGTCGCAGTTGTGCGACAGTGCGAAGTCCTGTGAGATTAGCGTGGCAGCTGATCCAGTGTCCCCAAGCATAGTGGTCTGGATGACATTTATAACAGCTGGAAGTGACAGGGTCTTTCTCGGTGAATCGGCAGAGGCGAAAACCGCACTGTTTACAATCCGTTTTCTTCTCTTATTTTCTCTGCATTCCTTCCACTCAGTCTCCTCTCAGCCTCATTCATTTCCTTCCCTACAGAGGTAGTTTCCTCTGCCCCTGCACTTGACTGTTAGTATTTGAATTTCAGCTCCCGGGTTCGGTTTGTCAACTTGGTGTTCAGACTCTTAATATATAAATGTTGATATGCCCTTCTCGCCTATCATGTATCCTCCAATGTATCTAAGCTTCATTCAAACTTCAACTTAATTAACTTTGAAAGGTGTCCAGACCATGTCTCCCTGCACTCCTTCACTTCGTGCATTCCCAAGCGCCCACAGTGCTCATCTGCCCACGCTCCTCTTCCGCGTCTCTAAACTCGACTGAACTTTAAACCTCATGCATTATAACGGGTTCCCAAAAGGTAAACCCAGCACCATGATTCCTTTTTACATTTCCTGAACTATTTCAAATCCGTTGTAATGCTATGGTGTCGTATGCTTCATTATCGCGTAGTTAATTTTGCCCCTCCTTCGAACATTCTCTTCCTGTTTTTCTAAATATTTTCCCTTCATTTAGCTATGCACCCGTATACTTACCCTTCTCAACATGTTCTAATAAAGTGTCTTGCATTTCTAGCGATGATAGTGTTGATAGTGATCCAATGACGTTGTGGATAAAAGTGACCAGGCGGAACATCAGAAAGGGTTTATTGTATTCGTTTCTTGGACATGAGGCTAGATTAGTTGGCATTTATTGAATTAATTTTATGATATCCCTAGCGGGTTTAGTGCACGAATGTATTTCCTAAATATAGCAGCCGCGCTTCGAGAGCCAGTATGGGCACCGTGGATAAAAAACGCTGAGTTTGGGCGCCAGTCTCAAAACCGTGGATACGCATCAGCAAGGCTCGACTATCAGACGATCTGCACATGCCGGCAGCAAGATGGCGGCGCCTAGAGGACATACTTGCAGACGGCTGGACAGGAGATCGAACTATAGGGAGCGCTCTGACCCGTTTGTTTTCCCCACGCTCGGTGTTTACTCAACACAAGGCCTGTGCACATGCCGACAGGCTTTATGGGCATGTGCATGTCATCTTCTCCATACAATATAGCGCGGGGCACAGCTTAATGTAAAAAATATTAACAATCGACGAAGTGACGTTAAGTGCCGGATCTATCCTCAGAGAATGCGAGCTTGACCCACTTCGGCTTTTGTGCTGAGCTGGGACCGTGCATGCTGCATTGTTCATGCAGGCCGTAGTGGAAACAAAAGAGCCTCTCCTCCCTTTCACCGGAGAACACGAACTCCAGCCGAACGCTGACGCCGCGTTCGGTTATGTCCGCCGAGCGCCGAGTCATTGTATTTGTTGTCCCCATCCGTGTATTTGTAAAGTTAACCGCTTGGGGCGTCACGGTCTGTCCTCCCCATGGTCACTACGATTCATGATTCAGTGTCCGGCGTTCTCGTTGGCCGTAGAGGGACAATGAGGTGTTCGCAAGTCTTGAAACCTCCGGCATTTCTTAAGCTGTCGAAAACGCTTAACTTAAAAAAAAAATAGGTCATTGTTATGTTGCGACGCTCACGCAACATGGCGTTTGCCTGATAGGGGATCAGCCAAACGTTTCTGCCACCTTCCTGGAACTTTTGAAATCCGGTCAGCGCGACTCTACACCTTCGTTGTGCCTTCGGAGCTTACCGGCCTTTCTTTGACGTTTTACGGGCGACGCTCCTTAGGGTCTAGCCTTGTCCGGCGTCCGTGTTCACATCGATTGCCATCCCATCTGTCTTCTTCAAAAAAAGAAAAAAATGTTTGCGCAGTCGACAGGATTCGAACCTTTGCGGGGAGACCCCAATGGATTTCTAGTCCATCGCCTTAACCACTCGGCCACGACTGCGGGACGAGTAGTGGGATCTGCGATGTGGTAGTAACTCAAGAGCTGGAGATGTCATGGATGAAACGTGTCATCTAGCCCCTCAACGTCTATACAGGAGAGGGCGCTGCGATAAAATGCCTATATAATCGCGTTAAACTTTGCATGCATTGGCTTAACGTATATAGACGAGAGGGCGCTGCGGTCAAATGCTCAAATGCGTATATAACCACGTTCCATACCACACATTCTCTTTCTGACATGAACCGTTGACTTAAGTGGCGGAGATGCGTTCCCACGGCTACTAGGGCATCCAAGCTGATCCTCTAGAAGAACCACTGACTCTGCATTTCACCGACCATAAAGCAGTAATAATGAAGTCGAAACGTGACCCGGAACTCAGCACTACCTATGAGCAATAAAAAATCAGCACCATCAGCACTACCTATGAACAATAAAATCAGTATCATCAGCACCACCAGAGCTTCACCCCAATCAACATCATTCACCACGTGGAGATGTGGTCTTTTTTTTATACTTTATTCGCCTATTCAGGATACTTGTCACTTTTGTCTTATCTTCCAGTGTCAGAACCAGAGAACCAGTCCTTCGCGGGAAGCGTAAGAAGAGAGCAAACGTCAAACAGCCCGCGACAGGCTGGTTGACTGCACGAGCACGGGCAGCCCAAGTTGGACATTGCCACGCGTAGCCGAACTTATATTCATGACGGCACTGCAGTGCGTAGGCAGCCCAAGTGGGCGTGTCCTCACTGTACCGACATCTACGCTAACCTTTCCCTCGCATAACTGAAGTGGAACCCACGAGAATACTGCAGGGGCTTGCCTTCTTGAGCCTCACTCAAAGTTATCGAGAATGTCACACGCTGGTCCTAAAATGAGACGATACGTACCCAATATGTGTGGGTTTAATAGCAAGTTGTACATCTATCATCATATAACGAACATACGCCAAATAATAATAAATAGCACAAGGGTTTTTTTAAATAAAAAAAAAATATTGACATTACTGCACTAGAGAGGCACCGGAAAACAATGCAACGTGGCTTTTAAAAAAACAATTATAGAAAGTGTAAGGAAAGGTTTTGTTTATTTCTGTTAATTTTTGTCTCGTGGCCAGCACGATCTTCTTTATTGCGTTGTTTTGGAATATTTTTATTGTTTATTACAACTGAAAGTCACGCGGCAGAGAAGAATAAATAACGACCATTATTAAACCGCGGCTATCCAAACTCATGAAAGCCATCTCACGAACATGGAATAACTGTTACTTCACAAGCGCCGCGCAATTTTCCTGCTAAACCAAGCTCTCTATAGGCACTGTTATACACTATAACTTTATTATGAGCCGAGCGAATCATCTTCGAAAAAATTAAATTACCGTTCATACAAACAAAACCTACAAGATCGAGAACCCAGCGCGTCAGGAGTGCATCCCACGTAAAATGCTTTGTGAAAATTCCACTCAGTTTCTACTATTTGTGGCGCAATACAATGGCGTCTATGGGGATATTTTTCATTAAAAGCAGCCGACTTGATTGTGGCGGTATGTTTTAATCTGCCTGTGAGGGTATAAAAGCGTCAGAAATCTCAACACATTCTTACTTCTCCAGCGATGTCTCCCCGAGGTACCTTTCTCCTTTCGATCGCGACGCTGGCCGCTGCTGGGCACGTCAGTGCGCAGGGCGACGAGACTGAGCTCGCCAGGGCAAATTCAGAGTTCGGTTTGAGCCTTCTCAAGGAGCTCTGCTCTACCAGGAAGCCTCAAGAAAACGTCTTCTTCTCCCCAAGCAGCATCTTCGCAGCGCTGACCATGGTCTACGCTGGTGCAAAGGGTAGGTCTGCCGCAGATCTTGAGACTGTCCTAGGCCTACGCAGGGCAAAAATCACGACGCGGGACGCCGTTCTTGGGACGTACAGGACGTACCTGAATAATCTCCAGTCGCCCAGCGTGACCCTGAAGATAGCCAACGCAGCTCTGGTCGACAAAAGGCTTGGACTTCTCGAGAGCTACAAGCGGGACCTGGCTGAGACGTTTAGTGCCAAGGTTCGGTCTGTTGATTTCCAAAACAATTTGAAAAAAGTTGTGTCCGAAATTAACCAATGGTTCAAGAGCAAGACAAGCGGCAAAATTTCCGATATGGCTAGCGAAGAATCTTTACGCGGGGGAGTGATGGTGCTCATGAACGCTATATATTTCAAAGGCTCTTGGAAGAACGCCTTCGACACCAATCAAACATCTCATTTTCCGTTCTACAATGGAGGCATCGAACCTGTCCAGGTGAAAACTATGACGTGCAGGAGTACTATGAACTATTGTACGCTACCCGAGCTCAAGTCTCAAGCCGTCCAGCTTCCATACTCCGGGGACCGATACAGCATGGTCATTGTTCTTCCAAACGACAGGGCCGGACTTCCTCAGCTCATACGAGCCCTCTCTGTAAGAACAATTCTCACTCTTTTGAAGAAACTGTCTCCGCACCAAGTGAAACTCAGACTCCCGAAGTTCGAGTTAAGTACAAAGTACAAGCTAGTGGATGCGTTGAAGAAGCTGGGCTTAATATCCATATTCAGCAATCAAGCCGACCTGTCGGGGATCTCCGGTGACAGGAATCTCATAGTGTCAGACGTAGTGCACAAAGCTATGGTGGGTGTGAGCGAAGAAGGGACCGTCGCAACCGCTGCTACAGAGCTCAAGTTTGTGGTTTCCAGCGGCGGCTATCCTGATATTGCGGAGTTTTACGTCGACCACCCTTTTTTGTTTCTCATCTGTGATACCGCCATAAACCAGATTCACTTTATTGGTGCGGTTCATAAATTGTGAACGAACCCCATCTGACCAGATGTTATTTCAGCTTCCTTCGCCGCACTTACAAAAGGTGTTCCTAAGCAATAAACCATATTCGATTCAGTCTGGATGTCTACGTCCTTCTGGGGGATGCAATTTTGAAAACACAGCCATGCAATAAATCAGGCTCTCGAAAATCTTTTTTTTTAATATACTATATGAGATATAGATACTTTGTGAGGACGAAGTTATTAGAATTTTTTTCATCGCGTTTCTTATATACAATCTTTACTATAGTCAGTTGCAGGTTAAAGGGACCATGGATGAAACGATTTTGAAATAGAATTTCATCTCTTGCACGTCGTCAAAGTTGTGAAAAAAAAACCTAAAACACAAAAGTAGAGAGCGAAAAGAATTTTTCGCGATAAAACTTTTAAAATAAAACCGGACTCTTTTGCACCTTCTTTCCTTGGCAAGCTCACTGTGTTTTCACTGCGATGCATCCGGGGAACCGCAGCACGTCAGCCAAATCAAACGTCGCCTATTGGGTAAGAGCCTACCTAACCAGTACCGCGATCATAAACAATAAGTAGCCGGCGGATGTTTCCTAAAGGTTTTCTTAAATAATATTCAGATCCACATTTTGTAGCATAATTAGCGATGCGACGAAAACTGCCGAATCAGCCGAGCGACGGTAGAAGCAAAAGGTGTACTCAGAAAACCTGGGAATGAGAAGGTGGATCGACCACTGTACTTCAGTGGTCGAGCCACTGATGTACAGTGTCGAAAAGACATCAATAGAACGTTTGTGGGCGACGAGCCGAGCGATGCTGGGCAAAAAGGAGACGTCCAGAGTGACGCAGTCGTTAGCACTAAAGATGAACAAGCCCGAGAAGGACCTGGCGGAAATGGCGGGAGTTCTTTTTCCCTCAGCCTCCACCAGACGCCGCAGATGAGTTTAAACCATACATGATTGAGAGACTCGCCCCAGACCCAGGAATGAACAGCCCATTCACGCCAGGGGAACTGGAAGCGGCGCTTCATGTCGGAAAAGCCCATGCGGCACCGGGGTCAGACAAAGTTACAATGACTATGTTAAGGAATCTGCCAGATCAGTCAAAAGAGGAATATCTGAAAGAAATCAACAACGTTTGGGCAACGGGAAAGCTGCCGAAGGTATGAAAACATTTCAGCGCAGTACCCATTCCGAAATCAGGAAAAGACAAGGGATCCATCATCAACTATCACCCCATATCCTTGACACCCTGCACATGCAAGGTAATGGAAAGGATGGCTCTAAAGCGGATGGAGTCGTTCCTTGCAACTACAGGAGGTTTTCACGCCGCGCAGACGGGCTTTAGGCCGGGGCTTGGAACGCAGGGATGCCTAATGCTCATTTCAAAGGATATTGTCAAGAAAAGGAAAAGGATGATCAGAACGACCGTCGCTATTGACGTAAAAAAAGCCTTCGACTCAGTACCGCATGCCGCAGTCATTGGCGAAGCTCAGTCGCTGGGAATCTCCGGGAGACCCTTGAACTTCATTCGAAGCTTTCTCGAGGTCCGCACGTACTCGTTGCGCAGCGGACGAGAGCAAGGTGGGAGGAGGACGAACAGAATTGGTGTCCCACAGGGCTCTGTGACTTCACCAATGCTATTTAACATAGTGATGGCAGCCTTAGCGCACCAACTCGAACAGATCGAAGGACTAGGTCTAACGGTCTACGCCGATGACGTGACCATTTGGACGCAGACCGGAGACCTGTACTAACGACAAGAAACGCTACAAGCAGGTTTGGACGTCATCGAGAATCATCTGCGGAAGGTAGGACTCAGTGCGGCACCAAAGAAACCAAGTATGTGGTGTAGCCCCTTTTAAGGAGAGGACAGAAAATATTGGAGAGGAGATGGCCCTGGCGCTGGCTGGGAAAAAGATAGATTTAGAGAAATAGGCATGCGATGAGAATGATTACGGGCCTACCCTTTTTTACCAAAAAGATAGAATTAGAGAAATGGGCACAGCTCAACACCTTACAGGACACGGTCGAGGCAAGGGTCGTGGTGCACAAAGAAAGACTTCAACACACAAAGCAAGGAAGACAGATCCTGGGGCTGCTAGGCAACAACCTAGAAGTCCTAGAAACCTGCCAAAATGGCTTCTGCCGTGGGAAGACATGGCAGACATGGCAGACATCACCGAAAGGAGGCCTCTTAGAGGCAAGAAAGGGGACGAAAAAAGGAACGAGCAGATCGCCAAAGCACACCGGAAGATGGTGGAGCACTGGACCTACCCGAGCGAGATCCTGGCAGTGTACAAGGACCACGCAAGAGATGACACACCGACGCCCGCTGGGGCAGCGGCGTTCCTCGCTCCCGCTGCGGGGGTCACGAAATGCTGCCAACTACCCGCAAGAACCACGATCAAGGGAGGAGAGCTCGAAGCCATCCTCCTGGCTTTGAACCTCTTCGCGCATCAACGGCAAGACCTATGCCCGAGGGAACTCAGGCTCTTCACAGACTCCAAGGAGGCAGTACGAGAGTGTAAAAAAAGCCTCCAGCTCAAGCAGGAAGGTCAAGGAAATTAATAAAATGGCAGCCGAACTACGTCAACTTCGAAACACCATCAAGATAGGTTGGATCCCGGGACAGGCAGGGATCCCCGGCAATGATAAGGTGCATCAACTCGCTCGCGCAGCGCTCGTTTCTTTCCGCGAGCGAGGGGAAGCACCCACATCCTCACAACCACGCGACCACGGATACGCCGCACCCGGTAATGGGAAGACGTTATTCGCGACTCCAGCAAAACGGACGCCACCAAGCGGGAAAACCGGGAACCAGTCGGTCCAGGTCGCTCCGCGCCCCGCCGCGTCTCTGGTGGCTTTCGCGGACACGTGCTGTCGGCGCGGGGGCCAGCAATATAATTTGACGAAGGTCCGAAAATTTCTTAAGTTTGCCTGAGTGTTCATTAGTGTGGTCAAGCCTCAGTAGATTGTTTCTTTTCATCACGTGTTTGAAAGCCCGTTTACTCCACAACACACGGTCGCGTGCTTTCAATTTTTTGGACGGGGAGGAATCACGGAAAAACTTTTTGATTTTTTGTCTGTATCGAATCACATTTAAAGTGACGACTACTTGGTAACTGATAAGTGGTTTCTTTATAAGGATGTAGAACAGTGGACTGAGGTCGACAGACGAGGTGTTTCACTGGAGGGAACACCAATGTTGCAGTCAAGAGAATGGGAAGGTTCGATAGCTGCTTTTCTTGAGTTTGGTTGTGCTCGATTAGCTTCAAGTTTGAGCAACTAACGCCGGCCGGTGCGTTGACTATTCATCTTGGCTGCTTTTCGCCGAACAAGACCACACTGAAGGAGTTGGGTTGATTCCGCAATTACTTGATTCAGAAAACCTGCTCGCTGCATATGATTAATGAGGGAAATTATCTGCTTTCAAAAGGTGGGGGACGCGTTTTGCAAAGTTAGAAGCTGTCACGGCATTAGGATCTATAGCGCCCTCCAATATTTATATTATAACCCCTGTCGAAGCCAGCAGCAATATACGTCTACATTGCTCAGGTTGACCGGCCACAAAAAATACTCATTTTATCCGTTCAGGATTCGAAGTCAAGTTCATTGCAGAGAGGTCTGGGTGAATCTCCGATGAAGACTCTAATCAGTTTGTCCGCATTCGTCTCCGTTCTACCGGCTAGAACCATTTGGCTAAGTTTAAGTAGTATCTCTCTGTCTATCAAATATACTTTCATTCAGCAGTTCACCTGATAGTTAGTCAACTAAGTTCATATTTTAACCCGAAGAATATACTAATATCGCTTTAGTGGGACATAGTACGTAATATAATACATAATCCGCATATTCGTCAAAATGACTTCTCGATTGCTACTAAAACCTGAATTTAAATACGAGTATCAGCTGCTTAGTGAAGCGCCAGCGGGTTAACATGCTCCTTGGCTCAAGAAGAGCTTGCTTAATTTTCGTAATTTGCCTGCAGCCTGTGTTCTTGACCGAGCACGCGACTGGAGCTGTTTCTTGAAACGCGGGCACGCACAAAAGCTCAATTTCGCGGACAGATAAGTCGCACGGTCGAGGCATGCGAGTTAGCTAAAAACTACTCTCGGTGGAACAATTTTGTAGCCATCGCCGCTTTCCTTAGATGATCAAAACTAATTAGAGTCTATTACCGTTTTTCCGGAGCCCATAGTTTCGGTTTTGAACGAAGTCTCCGAAACGAAAGTTTGACAAGAAAAGAACAAAAAACAACGGCAAAACAAAACTGTGCTCGGCAAGTTTATGCACACCGGCTACACTTAACCGGCTCAGTTCAAATACCCATAAAATTGGGCATTAAACAAAAGAAAATTTGTTAAATTGAATGCGCCACCCATTCAGGCGGCCCGGCCGATCCGACACGACCTGGACCCAGCCGCCATGTTTGTTTGGTGGTGGCGCCCCCTATAGGTCGCTGGAGTCGCGAATATGATGACGAAGAATATGATCCTGACGAGGAGAAGATTCAAATCAAGGAGAGGCACAGAACAATATTGTGGGAAAGCCTTCGTTAGACGTCCGACCTTCTACCGAGAGGGATCGGAAGAAGGGACAAGGCCCTCCTCACCCGCATTACACTCACAACAAAAGGGTAGTCGTAGGGTACTACATCTGGGGTAGTCAGAAACCGTCACAGATATCGCTATCCCACCTTACTAATACTAACGACCCCATGGGTAGTCACACGGCACGCAATCAACATGTAGTCACAGTGAGCACCCCCAAAAGCAACATGGCGGCTGGCAAGTGACAGTGGAGCAATACGAGTAAGGCCTAGCGAGCTGGACTGCTTTTTGCTAAAATACGATTCTCAAGTGCGCACACCCGCTCGCTGCCTTCCGTGCGAATTAAAGCACTCCAAAACGCGCCTCGAAATACCGGCACCGCACCTATTACGAGTAGGGGCGGCGATGTGAGGGGGGGCATTCGAGGGGGTTTGTCCGCGACTGCTTTCGCGCGGCCGGCTGCATTTATT